ATCACTGCAAAAACACCACCCAGGTTCCATAGGGTGAGTTAAAAGAATATCTCTACTACAGCGAATTCTTCCTTTTAGATAACATCTTCAGTATGGTACGTCCACTCCACGTCATGCTTTGCAGAGTTTTTCAAAGCTCGAGGACATGTATGTGCCGCACTGAATGTGTTAACTTTATTGTCATTACAATTCTGAAAAGTTTCACCTTTACATTTTTGTATCCATCATGGAGTACATCCAACTTGATACCCACATTGATTGGATTTGTGTCACTGTGTGCTGGTTTGGCTATTTCTGTAAATCACCCTGTTCAGAAGAGGTGGCTTTGGAGCTCTGTGCCGTGGGACTCTTGGGGTAGCTACCCTGAACTGCACTTCCCTGTGTAGTGCTCAGTGTGTCAGGGGGCTCGTCGGGCAGAAGACGCTTGAGGCTTAAGGCGCGGTAGCTTAAGGCTGAAGGTGCTGCAGGCGCGGTACGCTTGAAAGTCTGAAGGTGCTGCAGGCGCGGTACGCTTGAAAGGCTTAAGGTGCTGCAGGCGCGGTACGCTTGAAATGCTTAAGGTGCTAAAGGCGCGGCACCCTTAAGGCTTAATATGCTAAAGGCGCGGCACGCTTAAGGCTTAAGGTGTTAAAGGCGAGGCACGCTTAAGGCTTAATATGCTAAAGGCGCGGCACGCTTAAGGCTTAAGGTGTTAAAGGCGAGGCACGCTTAAGGCTTGATATGCTAAAGGCGCGGCACGCTTAAGGCTTAAGGTGCTAAAGGCGCGGCACCCTGAAGGCTTTGGGTGCTAAAGGCGCGAGACGCTTAAGGTGCTGCAGTCGCGGGGCGCCACACCTGTCAAAGCTCCCCCCTGCCCCTCTCCGTCCCGTAAGGTCCCGTGCTGCGGTGCAGTAGTGCGCGGTGCGGTTTGAGGTGCGCTCTTGCGGGATGGCGCCCGGCTTGGGTGTCATTCGCTGCGGTTGTACTATGAGTAGAGTACGAAGACCTCCCCCCTCTCTTCCCCCTTCTTTCCCAGTAACGGCCCTCCTCGCCTGTTCCAGCAGAGGCTAGATAGAGTCGAGACTGTTGGGACTCTTATAAGATCTCCTCTCTGATCTCTCCGTATGCTAATGAACCGTGGAGTAGTAGCAGAGGACTGGGGGGTTTGGGAGGCAGCTGCTGCAGGACTTCCCCCTCTCCTCCCCCCTCTTCCCCCTCTTCGTCTCCCCCACACCTGCGGTCGTCGTCGTATGCTGTACTTCGGACCGAAAAAAGTTCGGGGGCGAAAACGCAAAAGTATGAAGGAGAAGGAGGGGAAACGTCACTTGGTTGCGAAGTGTGCGCCGCGCCGCCAGCCATGTCGTGGCTCTGCACGTGGGACTCGATCAGGGCAGCCTTCAACTCCATCCCCTGGTGGTTGTGGAACACGGCGGCGGGCTGGGCTCCCCCCCCCCCTCTCTACTGATAGAAAAGGGTTTCTCATTGGTGTGTGTCTCTCTCTGCTTGTGTCCGCCAGGTCTGATGAGGAGGAGGCCAGCGGGGGCAAATACAGGAGAATGGACGAAGATGGACTTCACGACAAGGAGCGTTTCGCGAGGTGAGTTGTTGTTGTCGTTGTGAGTTTGGGGTCCGGGCAGCAGCGTCTCGGGGCTGTGTGGCCTGAGGTGAGGCAGCGCGTCCCCCGCGGCCCCCGCGGAGGGGCAGCTCCCGTTCTGAGAACTGAGGACCCCCCC